CTAAATTGAAACAGTGGGTTTTTAATCATCACAACTGAAAACCCACCGTTTTGATTTTAGAGGACCTCCATCCCCTCCCCCCCATCACGTATACAAGTGCCATTAAGCTTTTCTTACTTACACTGTGTGTCTCAGTCTCCTGGGAGATATCCCACTAAAATAGGACTAGGACTGAGTATACTGTACAGCAGAACCCAGACTCTGCAGGGTGACATTCCCAACCCTCCTTCCAAGAGGGTTTGCAAACTAGTCATAGGTATACTAGTTTGTAGCAAACAGCTGCCTAATACTGCAGAGGAGCTCCAGCTGTTTGCTGTGGCTTTTATTTCAGAGGATGCTGCTTCTCCAGTCAGTGGTGTACTCCAGCTGAAGTAAATGCCACAAGACAGCTGAGTGGTATGTTTTTAATTATGTAACCTGATGCAAACTAAGCAGGTTGTGAATGATCATGGATATGAAAAATCCGTTTTCTATTGTAATGCCATTTCCTGTTTCTATGCCCAGGGCACCAGAGAGCTATGTGACTCTCAAGGGAGTGGGGCAGTGTTCACCCAGTGCACACACCCTGTAGAGCACCAGTGAAAGGGGAACTTTGCTGCAAATCTTGCCTGTTACAGATTGCATCATACGTTCTTGCAATGACAGCATTCACTTCTACTACAACAGAGCTTCAAGGGCTAAGCAATGGTCTGAAAAATCCATACAGTAAACTCTGTATATATCTATCAGGATCACAGAGCTCTGAGCCAACTCAGCCCAGAAGTGAACTGATTGTACCAGAAGGGATTAAGTACATCTGACTGCATGTTTAAATCCCTAAGCCAAGTGTTCTCAAAATGATTATCCATGGTCACAAGTGGTTGTCCATGAGAGAGGGCGCTCCTCCCCGACATTTCCATGTGTTGAACAGCACTGAAGTCAAGTAAAGGTAGATTCAGTCCTTTTTGGACAGTTCCTTCCCAAACAGCAGCTGCTGCATCATAGAATCATAGAGAAGTATGGCTGGAAAGGACATCCATCATTTAATCCTACCCCCTAGGTCAGGGGTGGGTAAAATGCAGCCTGTGGGCCAGATACGGCCCGCCAGTCCATTCTATCTGGCCTGTGGGGCCCCTAAAAATTTAGAAAATTAATTTTCATCTCCCCCTGGCTGCCTATCACGTGGCCCTCGATAGCTTGCCAAAACTCAGTAAGCGGCCCTCTGCCCAAAATAACTGCCTGCCCCTGCCCTAGGTGAAGCAGGCATCTACTTGTGCCCTAGGTGAAGCAGGCATCTACATACATGTGAATGGGAGGGAACCTGAGGTGGGACATAACAGATGGGGCAGGAGGTGATCCTTGTAATGTTGGACAGAATGGGAATTGGGATGAGGTGATCATGAATGGGAAGGGAGGTGTCCACAGACAGTTAGGATGCTGCAGTTCATTTGTGTGTCTCAAGGTGCTTTACATGGTAAGAAGTCAGGTTGGACACAGAGCAGAGGTCAGTCATGAATAGGGTAACCATACATCCCAGTTTGACCAGGACAGTCCTGGATTTTGTGAGCCATCCCAGTGTCCCAACTGATTAGTGAAAATGGAAACAAAGGTCCCAGACTGAGGCCATGACATCCACATTGCTCAGCCCAGCTCCTCCTGGACTGTGGCTGGAGGCAGGGCGGCTGGGGTGGACTGAGCACCACTCCTACTGCCAGGGGCAGGGAGTGGCCAGGCTAAGGCAGGGTGGGGCAGGGGGAGAGTCATGCTGTGGACATGGGCTGCTCATGTGCACATGTATGGCGCCCTGGGCAAACTTGTGTTTTGGCACTCTTTGGTGCCCTTCTGAGCTGTGGCAGGAGGTAGGGTGGGCTGGACTGGGCTGGGTACCACCCCTCCTGCCTGACGTAGGAATCAGTGTGGGGTGAGGTGGAAGCAGTGCCCCAGGTTTCCTTAAAAATACCCAAGTCACTAAGAATCAAACATTTAAAATGAGTGCCTTAAGTCATGCTCTGCCATCCACACTGAGGAATTTAAACAAATGATGTGCTTTCAGGATCACTGGCCATGCACTGACCTAGGTGAGAGTTGCTGGGTTCCCAGCATTTGGAAATAGACTGCTTCTAATATAGCCTAAGTTTTGGGACTGATATTGGAAAATCTTAGCCCAAGAGACTTATCCAAGTTCACACAGCAAAGAACTGAATACGACTTGCTTGCTTGATAAACCATGCTTAACTTGCTACTACCTCATACCACTCACTTTAGCTGTATCCTCGTTAGGAAGTATGCCCTGATCTTGGGTTGTCTATCTGGATGTGAAATCCTAGAGAAGAAAAGACAGTCTGGGGTTTGAAAATGTCAGCAGGTCAAGTTAAGCCTCACCTTTAACTTGACCTGCTACCTCATGAAGTGACCTCTGCAACCACTACAGTGGGGACATGAATGCCTTTACCTGGGTTTTTAGCTAGGAACTGGATAGGCTGACATCAGACAGGATACCATTCCTTACTAGCTGGGGACTAGTCAGGGTCATCAAAAGTTCCTGTAGAAACTGAGGAGTCCCAAGAGTAAGCAGAGGAATGCAAGAGCTTTGGCTGGGATAGCAGAGGCAGAACCAAAGCTCCTAACTTTAATGCATTCATCATATTTCATAAAATCAACCTCCTGAATTGCACATACATGGTCAGTCTGGCAGGTCTCATCACATTCCGTGAGGTCATACTTGACAGAGTTAAATTGATAGTATTGTTGGAGGAAGTGTTTGTCCTTAGAGATCTTCTCCAACACTGTATGCATGGAATGTACAGAGGCATCAGGGACCTGGAAGGCTTCCGTCAGCCGATACTCTTTCTCCCATCTTGGGGCCACCATGTTAGCATGGGTGAGGTTTAAATAATAAGTCACCATATCCTGCAGCAAGAAAGAGGAAACCAAGAATAGCTTTAGGACAAAAAGGAGAAAAACTATGCTCCATGGTTTGTTTTAATCCATCCAATCTAAGGACTTGGCTATAGAAGCTTTCCCATTCAAAGGTGCTGGTGTGAGGCATTTACTACCTCTTTACACCTATGATGCACAGAGAACAGAAAGCAGAGGTATGTGGCTGGCCAGGTATTGAGTAGAGACATAGGAAGCCACCAGATGTGCCTGTGTATGCACGTACTCTTGTGGCTTGGCTCAGGAACCTCTTGTCCTATATCCCCCTTCCCCAGCACTTCCACTTCCTGCTTTTGCCCTGCTGAAATCAAGCCTGCCTATGAACTGTGATGCTGGAATATTTTGCCTCTGACTTCCCTGAATCCCTGGACTTAGGCTGTCCCTGGCTCTTGTATTAATACACTGTTAAGACATTAATTAAATCATCCCCCATGTTGCTACACTACAGAACGCGGGAGGTATTTCCTACCTTCACTTGCAGTGTGTCTCGCTCATAGGCAAATACCCGGATCCCTGGGTTGTTGGCTCCATTGCGCACACCAGGTAACGTTGTTTTCCAAGGAGTCACTCCAGGGGCTAAAAACAGGTTGTTGATCGGGGAACCTTTACCAGAAAGGCAAAAGAGTCCATGAGTGGGTAAAACCCAGTCCACTCTACAACCACCATGCAGGGTCACCAGCATGTGGCCTTTCTGTCTGACCACCCACTACAAACACAGTCGCTTTTTTCCCAACACAATCATCTGTCAGCTATGTTAAGGACTGCATAGATACATTCACAAAGCACAGCCAGCCATCATCTTGGCTGATACTAGGGGCCAAAGTGGGGACCTCTTGAGCCAAATGTACAGCACTTATCTCTGCAGCTTGAGATAAAGCAGCAGGGGGCTGTAACAGGGAAATTCCCTGCGGATCACACACAAAAAGGGAAAGAGAGACGTGTATAAGCACACCAGCCTAAAGGTTACACATGCTGGAAAAAATCTGTGCAGCTATCCCACTATGCTGCAGGAGAGAAGAGCACTTCTGCAGGACACCCACAGAGAACTGTTCTAGCAGTGCCAAGGGCTGGGAGGAAGAAGGTCTGGCCAAATAGTTACATAGGCATGGTTCAG